ATAAAGGCATTTTTTACCCTATCAGTCTTTTGTCATTATCAAAAGATTGTTTTTTATGTAGAAGAGCACGATGTGCCAATTTAACTCTACCTTCAAATATAAGCTTATCAGTGGAATATTAACATATGTATGTGGGTGTTAACGCAGCTTCCCGCGCTTCATTCGAGGAAGGCCGGGTTGGCGTTAGTGGATTATTGCACTTGGTTTATATGTTGGCACAATGTGGACCAGACGGATTGCCGTGAATCGCAATCTGGTTGTCGAATATCGCGAGTTGGTCACGATTTGCATACTCGTAATGCGTGAAGGTCGAATGTCGCGGACAATATCGCACTGAGTTGTCGATTTTGTCTTATTCCTTCGGCGGTTCTAGTCCTTTTATGCATATTGGGACTAGTTCCTCCGACCAATCAACGTGCCTCAATGCCCGTGACAACCCTCTCTTTGCGCCCTTAGCGCGTTGCTTTGGGGACGGGGGTGACGGTGGCTTCACGAATTTCCTCCAGGCTGTGACCGTTACAGTAGATCCTGAGTCACCCTTCGGAAGGCCCATTTTATAACACGGTTTAGCTATTGAGGACTTCTAATTTTTCTCTCGCCAGGATGCACTTTAACGGTGGCTTCACGAATTTCCTCCAGGCTGTGACCGTTACAGTAGATCCTGAGTCACCCTTCGGAAGGCCCATTTTATAACACGGTTTAGCTATTGAGGACTTCTAATTTTTCTCTCGCCATGATGCACTTTAATCCTTAAAACATGCCAATAATGAACTACAAGTCCTAATTTCAAAAATAGCCTCCTTGGCACGCCCGTGTCATAAAGCGCTGCGCCTAACAGTGAGAATGAAAATGATTGCTTCTCAGCAAATAAATTTTGAAAAACGAAGGGACGCACTTGTCGTTATTATCGTACGAAATAAGTTACCGATGAACTTTTCTTTCTTTTTATTTTTAATAGGCCAAAAAATGCTCTTATACGACCATGTCTTTTGGAGAAGATCGTATGAAATTGTAATAAACTTACTCGATCGGCGACACCACCTGGGAGGATCGTCTTGACGACAACACCGGTGCTGCGTCCACCGACGATTCCGAATCCAAGACCGCTGCCATCGTTGATCAAATTTATAACTTCAACTTGTGCCCATTCCGTGTTCAGCTGCAACAGAACAAACACATAAATTCCACATGACGTTTCTATCCAATCCGCTATTATTTAGATGCCTATCTCGTTTCATAGAAAGAAGAAACTAGTCAAGGAAAAGGAAACAAAAAATAAACATTGGTCTATAAAATATCTCTTATACCTTAACACGTTCCGTGCCGCGTGGGTCGCATACGCCCCACTCTGGTCTTTCCGTTCAGGCCATATGATATTTCGGCTACCGATGAACTTTTCTTTCTTTTTATTTTTAATAGGCCAAAAAATGCTCTTATACGACCATGTCTTTTGGAGAAGATCGTATGAAATTGTAATAAACTTACTCGATCGGCGACACCACCTGGGAGGATCGTCTTGACGACAACACCGGTGCTGCGTCCACCGACGATTCCGAATCCAAGACCGCTGCCATCGTTGATCAAATTTATAACTTCAACTTGTGCCCATTCCGTGTTCAGCTGCAACAGAACAAACACATAAATTCCACATGACGTTTCTATCCAATCCGCTATTATTTAGATGCCTATCTCGTTTCATAGAAAGAAGAAACTAGTCAAGGAAAAGGAAACAAAAAATAAACATTGGTCTATAAAATATCTCTTATACACTATGTATAATGATTCTGAGTCCAATAATTTATTTAATGGAAGAGAATAAAAAAGAAAAAAACCCTGCTGAGTGACGTCAAATATGTAAAATGTATAAATAAAAAAGAATTTCGGCGTGTAAATTAAACGTGTTTGCAATCTGAGTTTGGGAACTTTTGTTACAGAGTGTATAAGAGTAGCAATACATCAATAGGAAATATTTCAGGCGGAAATATGTAAATTAAATAAATTTATGCACAGGATCGTCCTCTGAAATCCGCTAATAAATTTTCGTACGTGCATCATAAAATACAATATGAAACGTATTCATGGTTTTATTTATTGTTCATTTATTGTATAACCTACGTACCATTAGGCAAAATTGATAAAGATGCACGTTGAAAAAAAAAAGGACTGTTAATTTCATCTTTGTCAAATTTGAAATTTCACATTCCAAATTTAATAGAAATATAATATTTTGAAATTTTCAATCCTAAATCGAAAATTTAAGTTCCAAACACAGAATATAGATGATTTTCTCAAACTTTAATTAATAATAATAATACAAGCATTGAATTGCGATAAAAAGTCTTCTGACAAAAATTCATATTTTTGTTGATGTGGTGTATCGGTCCACGAATACGGGACTTGGATCACAACGATTGGAATGTCTTATACAGAGAGACTAGCGAGACTCTGGAGTACAAGTATTAATGCAAGGTACAAGTCTCGGTTTGTGGTTCTACGACAAACTCGGCTGTATCGTTCGGTGTTCGAAGGAAGACTGCCTGAAAATTTGGAGGAGTACAAGAAATGAGAGTTGGTGTAGGAGTTAAAATTTGGGGGTAGAATGTTGGAACGATAGAAATTCGGCGATTGGTCTTAGGATATTTGTAAGAAGATAGGGAAAGGGTAAAAGTGGGGATGGAAGGTCGAGGTGGCTAGGGTTTTTGAAAATCCCAGTAGGAATGGAAATCGGACATCAGGGAAGGAAAGGACTAGTTTGCTAATTAGAAAATTGGGTACAATGGGTGGTAAAAATGTACTACGCTGTCGTTCGGTAAACATTTTACGGGGGGTACGCTCGTCTGACGGTCCCGTTAATCCTCTGTTACATTACTTGCGGTTTTAAAATCAATTTACCGTTTTCAAAAGCGGAATTATTTTACAAAGACCACGCCGATATTCACGGAAATGTTTATTCATCGGACGATGGTAATTAAAACGAGATAAAAGGTGACTCTATGCATATAATTAGCTTCCATGGAGACTTTCAAATATGAAAACGAATTTAGGAGGACACAGGTGACATTCTACGTGTATCTATTAATATCACAGTGATTGAGGGAAATTAGGAAAGCTTCTTTTCCATGTCAACAAATGAATAAAAAATAATTCCTTAACATTTTAGTTTATATTTTTAATTTGAATTATTAGCTCGGTGCAAATGAAGTGTTTATTCAACAGCTGAGATTGGCGAGTCAATACCACATTGTGTATTAAAGGATCTAGCCGTATAAGCATGGTAAATAGACCACTCGAAGAAAACCCGTTTTGCCAAGTATCAAGCTGCTTCCCCTGTTACTAGGGTAGTTACAGGGCGAAACGCAATTTACAGTTTAAGCTCCACTTCTCTTGCTCTGCTCGATGAAAACATATGAAAAAAATCACGGATGTGCTACCCAATGGCGTACATGTCTGTGAATTTTTTCAGAATTGTTCACTGCGAAATCGATTTTTAAAAAATTCGGAAAGTTTATAAATGCTGTTTTTATATTAAAATTACCGAATGACCACGTTTATATTATTATTTTAGTTTTTCGTGTGACCATGTTCATATTTCTACAGTTTTAACAGCTTGTTATGGTTATTAATGTACAATTTTTTCAGATTTTTCGGAGAGGTGTATCATACTTAAAAAAATTATAAACCGATATCTCCTAACCTTTCGAACGCAGAGTGGCATACTCGTATAATCGACATACTTTATTCATTGAATGGTCATTATATGCATTTCCAAATACTTTAACATGTTTAAGTAAGTCAATACATTTAATTTGGACATATCTTCTTCTCTTTTTTTTTCATGGGGGGAATCTTCCAAAGACTCCTGGAGTGGAGAGGAGAGGTAGTGTGGATACTTACCCACTAAAACCTCCTTGGGGTTTTACCCAGTGTATGAGTTTTACTGGTTGTAATTTTGATTTGCAACACTAGTGACCTGTTGCGTTTAATTTAATCTTCATCACTACCACAGTAGTCAAGAAGAAGGAATTTGCTGTACTACACGTGTATTGAATAGTAAAATTGTCCACAATACAATTATATGGACATTAAGTATTATCTGACGTGATGAATAATGGGAATATGTGCGTAATTTTGTTCATATAAGCTTAAACTTGAAAAAACTGCGGTAAAAATTGCTGAAAATGTAAACTGAGCATTTGAACAAGGTTCTGTAAATCTTAGGGCACTTCAACGTTTGTGTGCAAAATTCAAGACTGGTGGCTTTTCATTAGAAATGAGCCAAGAGGAAGGCCAGATGGGTCCTAGGATGACCATGTTTTAAGAAAAATTATTAAAAACAATCCACGGTAAAGAATGTGAAATTTCGGCCTATTCACTCTACCTTTCCCCAACAGACTATCATTTCTTCAAACACCTGAATAATTTTTCGACAAATAAATTATTCCGAAATGAAGGCACTCTAAAAGCAATATTCAAAGAATTTTTGAATGTAAAGACTAATGATTTTTATAAATTTTTTGAAGAAACAGAATATATCTAAAGTTTCATTTCAAAAGACCACGTTTCATATGCATCACCTAATATTTTCATTAAATATTTAATTACAGGACTGTGGTCCTATTTTATAAATAATATGAAAATTTCCATTTTTTTTTCTTTCTTCATGAGTATGTTTTGTAAACAATACAAAAATTCAAATGAAGTGTGTACATTACACGGAATAAGAAATGTTGGACGATTTTACACGAAAACGCTTTTTTCCCATTTCTTCTCGTTTTTACTTTTGCAGCCAGAGGCGCGTACTCTCTCGATGGATAAGAAGATGCGTTAAAGTTGCAAGGAAAAATGTAAAGAGAAGCATGATGCACTGTCGTCTCCGAGGAAATTCGTAGCCAGAGGACATCGTGAAACTTTTCATCGATCGACGACACCCATACTCACTTATTATACAAGAGCAAAGTGATTTTTTAAAAAATAGAAAATGTTACTGTTGTCACAAGAGTATAAATTTTCGATGGAAAAGAAGAATTCGAATTTTAAGCTATGGAAGAGATTAAATGGACGATTTATAATTCAAAATTATGCAAGAGAAAATTACAAAGAAATTTATCTATTAGTTATTTAGTGTCGCATCAACCATTTATATGGGTTATTAGCGACTCAAGGCCCAGATGTATAATTTGTTGTACAGGTTCGTATGTTTTAGGTAGTGCAGTAGATTTTGAATCGATTTATTATCCTTTTAGACCAAGTTGGGTCTAATGTTAAATTAAGGAGTATTTAAGGAGTATCGCACCATTTTTGTAAACTCGACGCATTAAAACATGCTATCAAAATCTCAGCTACCGACCAAAACAAAAAATTTATTATCTTCTCTGACTCCATTAATTCCATCTCATAAATCTAGAACCAGTGGACAAACGATCCCACCATTCAAAAATGTCAAAAATCCTACCTCAAATCAACTCAAGAAAACAACTCGATAACAATAGTCCGGGTCCTCTCTCTCACATAGGCATTACAGGTAACGAAAGAGCAGACAAAGCAACCAACTCACCAACCTCCGACTATTACACCAACAGCCTACCTCCAGGCACTATACTCCTTAATTTAAAACACAAAATAAAGAAAACTGGAATAAAACTTCACCAAGTCGTGATCTCAAGAATCCTAATACGCTACACGAAACTCACCCATCAATATCTCCTCATTAAAGACTAACCCCCAACCTGCGAACTATGCAAAGTTCACCTAACAATGGAATACAGCATCACCCATTGCATTTAAGAATGACCATAGGTTGATCGGTAGCCCTGGTGTTGGAATTTTCATTTTTCCCCTGTTGGCCGTTTTGGGTTGGTTTTCAGGTGAGGTACTTGTGTTATTTCGAATACTGTTAATGTAGTATGTCGTTTGCTCCATTTTGTTTTGTGCCTTGTTGCAGTTGGTTTCTTTGTCTTCTTTTCGGAGTTTGTGGTTGCTGGTTGTGTTAAGGAAACGTATTATTCTGTAACGTGTCCTTCCTTGCACGAGAGGCAAGTGACTTTTTCAGTGGACACAAAAATTTGGTGTCATCGTGTGTGATTAGGAATGATTCTGTGTTGATGTAGATTTGTCTTCTGAAACTCATGATGTGGGAAAAGCCAGGATCGTGTAATCCGGCTCGAAGGAAGGAAAGTTTAGTGGACAGTTTGATACTGAGGTTCCTTAGGAATTTTTCGATGTGGCCATGGAGTACGGTGGGGGAGACGTTGGACAGGACAATTGTTTGTGGTGCGGGGGTCTGACTGTGGTGTTCCTGTTGTTGACGAGTAGAGTTTTGTGGTTGGTTAGAAAGTTTCTTGCTGTAGATTTACTATCGTAATAGATGCAAACACTGTCGTTGGTTATTCGGGAGACGAAGCGTACGGCGTTGGGTCCGGTGGTTTTTACTACGGCCTGCACGTACTCTTTGACAGATGTACCTTCCGTGGTATTAATTATGATTGCCTGTGCCTTGCTGAGAAATGTACTGTTTACCGTTTCAATAGGATGTTTGATTCTATGTTCAGAAGTCTCGCCGGTGTCGCACACTTTATGATGCATTCTGCCGTCGTGGTAAAATGGCACAGCGTGATAATCCG